AAATAGTTTAGACACACATACGAGCTTTCTAATAAAATGTGTATGATCTTAGATAAAGTCTTATTGAAGTATCACGTATCAGAAATATGAACTTTGGTAAGAAAGTCAATAAGTACTGATTTCTAGAACTCTAGTTGTTTTCTGAGTACATGTCAAAGCTAGTAGGAGCATAAGTGTTATGTTGGTAAAGGTGTAATTATCATGTTAGTGGGAGCATGATTATTATGTTATGTGTTGCGAGTTAGTAATATTAATTATAGAAAACAAAAGTTTCAATTCGCAAACTTGCAGAGGTTGCAAAGTTGTTTTGCTATAATTAAGGGATAGAAACTTATACTTCATTTCAAATCTAAAAGCTTAGATCGAGAAATTTTAATCAAATTTAGTCAAAGGACATATAATATTCACGTGTTCTAATTTTCTAAATGCCTAGGGCATTAAGAGGGAAAAGGACCAGAACCGGATATCACTAAAGTAGTTAAACAATCATCAAGGACAATCTATGGTTCGATAAGGATTGGTCACTTATGGGCGGTTGGAAGTAGAGTATTGAAAGGAACATATTGACGTTATTATGAATAGATAGGATTCTATTAATAATGAGTTGTCATATGGAAAATATGGAAATGTTTAACGGGAGTTGGATATTAAGAATCTATGTAGATTAGAAACTTTTATGCAAGAAGGATAGTCAAAGGAATGTACTTTGAATGTGAGATTTTATATCTGTGGAGTTGTCTTGTAACAATCTCCAATAGAGCGCTTTGTAATATCATTGGCAAAGTCCTTGTGACTTTGGTGTTATGTCATTACAGAAGGATCATTGTGTAATATGTTAGAATCTAACATATTCTAATAGTGACAAGAATTTGGTATTCTTACACTTGTGATAAGGATTGGGAATTGTGAAATGAGCATCATTGGAAATGTGTTCAATTGATATATTTCACAAAGTAACGACTATAGGTAAACATAGTGTGCATGCTTGGAGCATGGGGTGCCTATTGTTTCAATTCAAGTATTAAGTTGATTATTCGAAACATTATACAATGAATAATGTGTAATCGATATGGTGATTAAATGAAATGTGTTTTATTTATACTCAAAGTGTTGAGGTCATATTGGATTCGATTATTCTTGTGTTTCACTTTGCATGTTTTAACTTCCCGAATAGTAAGATTATTCAAACATCCACAGTCGATCGTACGTTGGAAGTAAGTATTGAGGCAAGACTATCATGAATTTTCTTGTAGATTGTCTAAAGCGTTTAGACATAGCAAAAGTTTGTTGCAATGTTCATGAGTGCTCCTGAAATAAGATTCGGGTATCGGATTAAACCCACGCTCACGTAAATCAATTCATGGATTTTACCACGAGTGATTGTGAGAAGATAATATCTTATATTCTTGAAACAGAGAGATATGAGCTGTTGTTTGCGAGTTGGTTGCACATTGATAATGCGTAAACGCATCAGCAACTTGATGTTATAAAACGTATTATTGTGTATGATTTGATGAGTAAATAGTACAAGCATATGAGTCGAAGGTTATCCGTTCCTTTTACCCTAAGAGGGATAAAAGCGATATTTGTAGGCCCCTAGATTATTTAGTGATGACATCCTAAAGCGCTTGGCCAAGCTTGGACTAAGTTGATGTGTTCAATTGTAGTCTGTTGTCAGTCGTCATAAATCGGAAATCAGGAAAAAACACATGAACAGAGAGAATGATTATAATCCATGTCTCAGTTCATACGATATCTAGAATGGAGGAATATATGATCCCTTATCTAAAGGACGTGTTGTTGATAAGATTAGAGTTCGACAGTGGCTTTTGAAAGCTACGATTGCTAATCAGGTTCTGAACTTGTACTTGCAATAATAGCTATTAGTTTTATCCAAGTGGGAGACTGTTGGATTAGGTGTCTAAGCCCATACTTATTATTGGTATGTACTTGACCCGATTATCAGCATGGTCCTTTTGGGTTGCCTTCGCTCATGCAACTTGATAGGATGACAAGAGGAGAGAGAGTAGAATTTATTATATGTATAATAAATTGGTACTTAAAATGGTTTTGTTAATATATTACAAGTTTAATATATTATTTGGAAATGATATAATTTAATTAGTATTGATCAAAAATTAACTTGGTGATCAAAAGAGACTGATTAAATTAAGGGGACTGATATTGCAAATCACTGATAGTTGCAATTGGGCTGATGGATCACCTTGAAATTAAGGTTGGTCAAATTCTATGGGAAGCCCATAAAGAATTCATCCAAGGGCTATTTTAGAAGGTGTCCATGGGCTGCTTAAGGCTTAAGTAGTCATATTAGGGTTTCCACTTAAAACCTTAGCAGCCAGAAGTATAGATAGACCCATTGCCTTGTGAAAATCGGATCTATGCTTCATGAAACCCTAAAGGACCGATTTCACCTCTCTCCTAAGTCATCTTCTTGCATTGAGTGTTTGTGACTCCATTAGAGGTGCAACACTTGGGGCACTAGACTTCCAGAAGTCAAGATCAAGAATGATTAAACTTGTTATTGCTACATAACAAGTGAAGTAAAGATTCTAACCCTAATCATATATGATTTTCAATATATGTATGCTAGTCATAGGGTTGTCGCTTTGGTATTCATAGTTATATGTTAAAATTAGAAAAACCTAGATCCAAAGCAATTAGGGTTGCATGTATACCATAGGAATGATATAATGCTCAAAACCCAACATGTATATGATTTATATGTTTATGCTAGGGTATTATGTGGTGGTAGTAGGGGTGAAATAGTCCCCAGTTACAGATTGAAAGAGACCAAAGGGGATGCAAACACCCAGATATGCTAGGAAACTACCGGTTGAAAGAGACCGAAAGGGAGGCCAACACCCATATATGCTAGGTAGTTATTGGTTGAAAGAAATTGAAAGGGAGGCCAGCACCTAGGTATGCCAGGCATTATGTGATTATATGGTATGTGGTATGATTAGGGAACTCACTAAGCTTTATGCATATAGTTTTCAGGTTTTTGTTTCAGGTCCTTCTTTTTCGAAGGGAAAGGAGCTGCACAGTAGCAGCCCATCACATACACGATTTTCCGCAAGAGCGATCTATGGGATTTTGTACTCTGATATGAGTACAATTATTAAAATTTAGTTTTTTTTTTTTTTTTTTTTTTTTTTTTGAAATTTTAGATTTAAAAAAAAACCAAGATTATTTTTTTTTCCAAAAATCATGAAAATTTAAGGGAGATTTTACTCAATATACTAACAATTTTATAAAAAAAAAAAAAGTTTTTGAAGTGACCATATTTTAAATTTAATAAATACTAGTTTTTACAAAATATAACATATTTTTTTATCCAAATTCAAAAAAAAAAAAGTGACGAAATTATTCGTAATACTATTTTAGTTAGTATATAACAGAAAATTTTCACAAATTATTATTATTTAAAGGAAACTTACATTTTGTTTAAATGAATTCGACTTTTTATAAAAATAAAACATGAAAATTTTCGTTCTGCAAATTAAAAATCATTTTAAATATTTATTATATATAATATATTATGAACTTTTTGAAAATAAAATTTTAAAAATAAAGTTATTTAGATACTAAACTTTATTTTAAAAGATTGCGAGGTTTTAAAAATAAATTGAATATAATATGATCCGTAATAAAAAGATTCAAAATATTTATGATTCTAAAAAGTTATGATTTAAAACATGTTTATGATCTTTAATTTGTTATGATATAAATATATTTTTATTCAAATATTTTATGATATTTAATTATATCTTTTATGATTTAAAATATATAGTGATCTAAAATTTATCAAGAACAAGAATTATATTTAACTGAATATATTATTGATCTAAAATCATGTGATTAGAAAAATAATATATATATATATATATATATATATATATATATATATATATATATATATCTATCTCTCTCTCTCTCCAAAATATTAGGCATGGACCAAATGAAGATCTCGATTTTCTTACTTTATCTTCTTTAACACACACATAATATATGTAAAAAAAAATCAACAACCCATAAATGGATGATAAAAACCTAGGAAATCGATTTACATGTAGATCGAGAAAGTGGTTGTGAAAACACACACATACAATAAATGATTAATATACAGATCGGTGATTAAAAACTTAGAAATCGGTTGTGAAAACACACAATAATGAACATACACATACGAAACTTGATTAATATATAGATTATTCAACGATTACCTTGTAATAGTAGAAGACACGAACGATTTCTAAAAAATGATGGGAGACATGATTTTGAAAATCGACTTTCGGTTTGTTTCCAAGGTGAGGTTTATTGATCCCTAATCCATGTCACGTCGTTCATGGCCTGAATGTGCATATGTCCGGTGACCTTCATTAGTTACCACTATGGGTTTTCTATTTCTTAGATATGCTTTCATCAGCATTCGCTTATGAGCTTCATTTGCTTCCTTCAACTTTCTAGGTTTTCACTAACTTTGCATTTATTATGACGAAATGTAATGACAGAGAAAGTGGGTGTATAGGGGATCGGTTATTTGAACATGAGGTTTATGGATTCAATTTTTGGGTGATTGTCGATTCCATATCAATTTTAAAACAAAATTCGCTACAGAGCTCTTCACTAGAATAAGTATTGTAGATCGGTGTAAAGATGATGAACTTGGTGTAGAGAGAGAGAGAGAGAGAGAGAGAGAGAGAGAGAGAGAAGAGAGAGAGAGTTTATTTATTTGTTTTTATTTTGTAAATATTAAAATATATGTTAAAAAATATAAAATAATAAAAAAAAATAGACTTTTTCAAGTCATTTTAAATTTATTAATGACTTAAACCAAACAAAAATCCAATTAGACTAGTAATATAAATTGAAAATTTTATACTAGTAAAAAAAAATACACATGTTTTTACAAACCATAATACCAAATTCGCACTTTAATCTATTTTTTATGCAACAAAATTTCCAAATATCATTTTTTACACACGTCAACAGGTGTATCTGATTTTGATAGACGATAAGTCAAAATTGGGTTTTTATTTGACTTTTACAGATAGCCGCCTCACCCGAAAATCAAGAGCCCTTCTGATCGGCGGCACTGCCGGCGGAGCCGTTATTAGGTCTAGATTTACTCCTCCAATTCTCCTTCAATATCGATTCAATTATTGTTTCTTCATAGACGCCATCAGCTCATCACTGTCGATCACCCCCTGTTCTCCTAACCCTAATTGTAATCTTAGGGTTTGCGATTTGTGTTTCTCTTTTCTTGTAGGGGGTGATTGTTGAACCAATCCAATCATTTTTTGTCGAAAATGGTGAGGAGTTGCATTCAATCGTTGCTGAAACTGGTCAATTCGTTCATCGGAATGTTAGGGATCGCGATGATCATTTACGGCTTGTGGATGATTAGGGCTTGGCAGCAGCAAATGGACGGCTCAGATTACCCTACTCCATGGTACAACATCTCTTTCACGTTTTCACCGAGAAAAAGCTTTTACTTAATTGTTAATTGATTACATTATTTCTATCTAATCTAGTCAAACACATTCAGTTCATAATTACGATTCGATTGGGTATCAAGCTCCCTGATTTTATGCTTAATTTGAATCATAATCGAAAAAAAAAGATGGAAGTGATATGATTGCAAGAATCTTGCTATGTGGAAAACGATGAAAAAGCTTTTCTTTTTCAAAAAGTCAGGCTGTTAAATGCTAGCATTTATGTCATTCTCAACTTTTATTTATGAGGAGGCTTCATGGGGTCTATAGATTGTGGTCAGTTTTGTTGTACTTTTTTTTTTTTTATTAAAGTTTGATGATTAAACTTTAAAGTATATAACATCCTACAAATCCGGAAATAACAACTTTAAAAAACAAAATTTTAATGACATAACTAACAGATCCGCAACATGAGAGTATCCTAACAATAAGGAGTTGACAATACATTATAGAGGTTTTTTTTTTTTTTTTTTCTCGGAAAAGACCTAAATACCCTTTCTTTATAACTTTAACAATGTAGGTTCATATACGCCACACTTGGACTTGGTGCAACTTTGTGTATGATCGCGTGCTCCGGTCACATCGCCGCAGAGACTGCAAACGGATGTTGCCTCTATTGCGTATCCTTAACGTTACTCCGTAAAAATTTATTTTTTCAACAACTCCTGAGCAGCAACCCCTAAATTGGCCCACACAACTATATTTTAGAAACATCATGTCAGATGTAAATCAGCGACCTAATCAATAGGTTGCTCCAAAAACATCATGTCAGATGTAAATCAGCGACCTAATCAGTAGGTAGCTGACATAAAAGTCTAGGTCCCACAAGGAGCCAACTCCACATTGGAAATATATGACAATACTACCTTAACATGAATGTAGTATTTGGTCTTTATCTTTTTGCTTTTGATGGTGGAAGGTGCGGTCACAACCGATGTATTTCTAAACCGGAATTGGGAGGAGGTACTTTCTAGTGACGAAAGCTTTACAGTTCTTTACACATAATAGCAATGTACTTACATTTATTATTTTCTTTATATAATATTATTATTTTCATGATTTCAGGACTTTCCAAAAGATCCAAGTGGGAATTTCCACGAGTTTAGGGATTTTATTAAGGAGAATTTCGATATATGCAAATGGGTCGGCTTGTCCATTCTTGGTGCTCAGGTTCGTGTGTTGATGTCATCTAAAATTATTTGCGTCATTTGTTTGTTAGAATATACCGAAATATCTTTTTAAATTTTTTTTTTAGAACGGTAATTTAAATATTTTTAATTTTTATTTTTATTTAAACGAAGCTTGTTATAATTAATGGCAGGGGTTGTCTATATTTTTGGCACTCATTCTCAAAGCTCTTGGGCCATGGCCATATCATGAAGTAAATTACGATAGTGATGATTATGCAACCATTGAAGATTATCCACTTTTAAGAAATTACCCAAATCAACCCCGTTATGTTGTTGGTGCTCCGGTCTATGGCACTAGATGATTTTTGATGTGGACAATCAGGTAGCTTTTCGGTACAGTACAGGACAATTTTATACTGTGTTTGACATGTATTGGACTGTAATATATATTGTTGCGACTTGTAATGGATAAAAGAAAATATAAATATTTTGGTATTATGGGTAAAAAATAAAGTACATCAATCATGGTTTTTAAATTTGTAGGTTGTTACATGGTAACATGGAAACATGTTGTGGGAGCTTCGGGAAGATTCGTTATCTGGTTTAAGTGTGAAATGAAAGATGTTTTGTTCGTGGAAAGGTTAAATAGAATTTATTCAAATATTTTTAGTGTAAAATGCTGTTGATTATTTATTATATATAGGGAATTAAAATTGAGGTAGCAATTAGCGTTCTGTTATATCATTTTTTTTGTTCGTTTGAAAAAGGAGAATTAGTTGTTTAAACATGTGGGTTTATTTTGCATAATTAGACATCTGAAAAGTTAAATTGATAAATTATGATTATTTTGTGTTTAGTAGTTCATTTTGATTTCAATTTTGTATGTATTGTATATATTTCGTTTTTTGTATAACTTTATTGTTTTATAAATTCGTTTTTACATATTTATTACAACTTTATTTTGAACAGGTTCACAATTCTGTTTTTTTTACAAATTCGCTTTTTAGAAAATTGTAAAAGCATGTGTTGTAAAAAACTAAAAGCAAATTTGTAGAAAAAGGATCATAAAAGAATATGTAAAAACAAAATTGCAAAAAAAGAGTTTATACAAAACATGTTTATACAAACGGATTGGTAAAAATGAATTATAAAAAGTGTATAAAAATAAAGTTAAAAAATTAATACAAAATAATTGTTTTACAAAAAATGAATTTTAAAAAATGAATAAAAATAAATTAAAAAAATTAATACAAAACAGTTTTACTGAACTAAATTTTATATAAAAAATGAAATATTAAAAAACAGATTAACTTTTTTTCAAAGGCGAGTATAAATATGGTACGAAAAATTAAAATCTAGCAAAAGTTTGATTTTTTTTGGTAAATAAGAAGTAACTTGAGAAATGGTAGATCGTTGGGTATAAATTGTAATATATAGAAAGAATGTGATTGAATTATGTTATGTTTGATAAATTAATTGATTGCTGGGAAGTTAGTGGTTGAAAAAAATTACGTTTGGTAAAACAATATTATAAAAATCATTCGGCGGTAGTTCGAAGATCGACTGATTTTAAGGGATTAATTGATATTGGTGCAGATTAATTGGAGATCATAGATTATTAATAAAATATTAAAATTAATCAAAGATTAATATATTTTAAGAAAATAAGTACTTCAAAATATGAAAATAAGAGAATTTGTAATTTGAAAATACGAAAATATGTACATTTTTGTATAATATTTGTAATTTTGAAAAATTTGGAGTAAAAAAAAAAAAAAAAATTTCAATTTTTTTTTTCTATCTTTTGTTGATCGATTAATCCTGCTTAGATTGATTAATCCCGTCAAACCAGATTAATCCTTAATTTCTGTCGAACATACTATCGTAATCACTTGGAAGATGCCAAAAAATTGTACCCTTCAAAGAATATTTCATTTTACTTCTGCATAGTAAAAAATATGATTTTTTTTTTCTTTTAAATTAACGGTAATACTTTATTTCATTAAATATTTTATGAGAGTATTACTACATTAAATAGTCCTATGATGCATTGCTTTTATATTTAACTAAAAATTGCCTCATTGCTGTTTGGTAGGGAACAGGTAATTTTCAAATTGTCTTTGCCAAATTAATAAGTTTCAATGTTTGTTTTGCGGGGGATTAATCTGTAATTTTTTTATTCGACCGACTATTTTTAAAAAAAATTTAAACCCATGAAACATTTGCTATAAAAAAAATTGACAAGTGGAACTTTTCCTTAAATTGCAGGGAGAATTTTGCAATTTATTTTCTACAAATGGACTAAACATGGCAGGATACAAAAGTATTATGGTGAAAATGTAAAACCCAAAAACTTATTACACATGGACCATTTACGTAAAAAAAAATACATAAGGAACTTTTATATAAATTACTAGGACAATTTTTGTAAATTGTATTCTACATAGGGACTAAACTTATTAAAAAACTAAAGTATTGTGGCACATGAACAATTTGGTAATTTATTTCCTACAAAGAGACCAAACCATAACATTATAGCAAATATTTCAAACCTAAAAAGTATACTATTTAAACAAAATGGACAATTTCTGTAAGAAAAAAAAAACTGTATAAGGATCTTTCCTATAAATTACATTGATTGTTTTGTAATTTATTTTTTAAATAGGAGCCAATGTGCATATTAAAGTATTACGGACTAAAATATAAAACCATAAAATATACTATTAATAAGACACTTGCTTTTTTATTATATATAATAAAATAATTCGTGCATTTCCAATAGTCCAATCTTTTGAAAAAAAAGATGAATTGTTGCGTCAAGTTATACTTTTACTTTTTAGCAATCATATACATAGTATACTTTGTTTCAAGTCTTTCTTTCTGATTTTGCAAGTTGAGAATTTATTATATCAATTTCGATAAATAAATAGACAAAATTTCCCTTTGTATATCTTAGGTCTTATCACTCAAATTTATTCATGTTCAATTAACAAAGACACAATCAAACACTATATGTCATATACGTCTTGATTCATCCCAAAGAACAAGATGTAGAAGCATGTCTTCTTTTTTTAAGAAATATATATATAACAAACCATTTAAAATTTGATTTAATTGATTTATTGTAACATTAACAGGTGCTAGAGAGACATGTTATAGGTCATAGGACACAAAATTAGGCAAAATTCCATAGAAATAGAAAGGTGATTGAACACTTTAAAAAGGGAAGATCGCAATATCGCATACGAAAATCTTTATGAAAGTTTGCTTTTTTTTTTTTTATTTTTTTTTTATTTATTTAATCTTTCTTTCTTTTCTTTAGTCCCTTTGATGGAGGAGGGGATGCCTTTTCATTAAAAGCATGGTTCAGGTTGTTAGATGCTTTGATTTTGATGGACAACCATGTTAAGAATATCAAACCTTAAGTATCGAGTCCTCTTTCTAACATGATAGATATAAAGTACTAAAATAACCAAAAGATAGCTTGATAACGAATATATATTGATTTTCATAACAAAAGTTTAGTAAATCTTTTTGAACCGAAATATATTGCAATTAATAGAAGCCAGTAAAAGAAAATATGTCACAGCGAAAAGATAGATAAACTTGCGTTATACAACCAACCAATCAAATTACTTAGTACAAATTGCTCCTACTAAAAATCTAAAAAAAAGCTTTGGGAGACAATTTTAACAAAAAACTATGGCTTCCTACGATTTACCGTTTCAAAAACCTAGTAGTTTTGAAAACACATCGCTCACAAAGAAGTAACAACGACCATATCAAACACCTCTTTTTGAACCATATTCAAATTTGTAGTGCCCAACCACTTTAGCAAGTGTTACAATATGGCGATTTGTAACCAAACATCCTTAGTCATATTACAAGAAATGAATAAATAATCTCATGTTTCGCTTGCAAAGTTGTAAAAAGGACAAAAAATTGAATTCACATCAATCATTTTATCCATCAAACTTCATTCTAGTAGGAAGATGATTTAGACACAACCTCCAAAACAAAATGTTTGATGGGAATATATGAATTTAATCTAGCATGCAATTTTAATGTACAAAGTCGCACTATCTAAACACGATCTAGTTGAAGCTACCGAGAAAGAACCATTTGAATCAATGTTCGATGCCCACCTATCCATCTGATCCAAAATAAATACGATTGAATCAAGAGCTTCATCTCATTCTTATGCGTAAGTTTGCCCCTCTTCATTTGAAAATCTTTGAAAGTAATTAGGCTAATCTTCCAGCTTTAAACGATAGCTAACCAAGAACATTTTATTCAAATCTAATGAATAAACATGAAACTTTTTGTTCTTTAACGCCATATACCCACTAAAACATCTTCTCGAAAAACAGTTTGATTTCCATTATACACTTTTAGTTTGATTTCCATTATACACTTTTAGGCTACAAAACGAATCCAAATCTAGCCCATTAGTAGCTTAGATTATAAATTTCTTTCATAATGTTACTCCAAACAACCTTACTTGAAGCCTCGAAATGATATTCATTTAAGCACCTCAACACTTCTACTAATAATAATAATAATAATAATAATAATAATAATAATAATAATAATAAATTCTTTCATATCCCTCTTAAATCCTTTCATCCGATATCCGGTGGGACTAGGTATACCTATTGTAACAAATAAGTCTTCAATCATAGAGATAACATGTTCTTTATTTCAAAAGTTAAAAAAAGAAAAGGAGCATGCCAATCATCTTCTTTAAACTCAACTAAGTTGGAATGTTTCCCCTTAGTGATCACTATAATAGGTTTTAAAATCGGATTTCAATCGTCTTGGTCTAAAAAAACTTCAACACTTGTTGGAATATGTTTCCAAACAATTGTAACAACAACATTCGATCGGTTATGACAGAAACACCTCTCACATAAGCTATTTGAAACAACTATTTCTAAATTAATAAACATAATATTTCAAAGTCTAAGCGTGGAATAAGGTCCCAACATCACTGTGTGAATCGATTTAGTAGTTTGATAATTCTAGAAAAACACGAGGGTGCAACGGTTACAACAATATACAAGTTAAGTAAAGAAGTTCTAAATAACATAAGTAGTATTCTAAATGTTCAATGCATCTCCCACCTCTAATCTTCCTTAAACTTCCTAATTTGAATACATATCAAAATATGTACATTAGACTTGGAAAGACTAATGAGCATTATCGGGGTTCTATATGATTGAATGAAAAGAACTTTCACTTTCCATACACAATGTAAATCCCAAAAACATTTTCAATACATAAAGAGTTAGTATCAATTTGTATTTGGAGAAATAAACATTTCAAAGACAATAACACCACTTACAACATGGACCAACTTATCATCTAATGTCTATTTCCCGATATGTTATTTATTTATTTTAATGGTTTAATATTGTGGGAGTTGGCTAGCTTTATCATACGACAAGGTGTTGGTCACGCCACGTGCAATCTTTATTAGTCGAGATGCGACCTAAGTGGGTTGCAACGCGTGGCAGAAAAAGCTTGAAACCCTAGGTATCATGTTTTGGAGCGTATTTAAAGGCTCTAACTTCTAGGGTTTCCTAATTTCGCCAGCCTCCATATCCTGAAGAATGCTAAAAGCAAACCTTAGCCTCCTCTCACCACCTTGTGGTGTTTTAGTTCCTTGAATGTGAAGTTTGAAAAAGGAAAAGGTGTCTTTACTACTATAGAAGCAAGATCCAAAGAATTTTCAACCTTCTCATCATCTTTTCGACCTTTGTATGTTATAAAGCTTCAAAATATATGATCATTATGTATAAATCTAGTGTTTTGGAGT